TACCACTTGCCCCAAAAGGAGCAGAAAAGCTGTTTAGAAGACAATCTGTTCTTTTGCCCCTTGTCACTGAGAAGCAAAATCCTACCGAGATGCCCACACTGATCTAAAAAAATAAAACAGTGAACTCTGGCTTTTCCTAACCCAGCTATATAGACCAGTGATGGTACCCTTTTCTCTGCAAGCTAAAGAAATATTTTACGTAGAAGCATTTCAAAAGAACATTCAAAGGGCTTGGTAGGATTGACTGTGGTCTAGCCAGGTAATCGTGCATCTTTGGAATTGAATTTAAATTGCTAGTGGGCATATTTGTTTTTTTTATTTTTTTTTTTGGTCCACAAAGGGTTTACTTGGTGCTTTGTTCCAAGATTGCATTTTGACAGCGGTATCATGGACTGTTTAACTTTTTATCAAGCAGAAAAAAACATGTAGTAATTGCCATATTGGATTGTGCTTGTGGTCTGTCTAATGTACTACCATTTCTCTGATGACCATACCAGATGCTTGAGATGAGGATGGTAGACCCCATAGGAATTAGAGGCTTCTATGAAAATTTCATTCTAATCCCTTCTAATGAGAAATTGAGCTAAAACTGAAGCAGGAGCTTTTATCCTTTCCAGCAGTCTTTTTAGGTTGGTGACTCTAACTGCTCTAAATATTCTTATTTTTGTCCAGATTTGGTTTGTCTTTGGATAATAGTGTTTGGGTTTATGTGTGGGTTTTTTTTTTTTTTTAAACTTTGAGAAAAAACTGCATGAATGGTGATAAAATCGAATAAACTCTTCTAATGTAATTGAATGTCCCCTTTCCTCTTGAACCAGTCTTCTCAGATGTATTGCACACCACATTGTGGTTTGCAAAATAAATAACGATGTAGAAGGTAGTTACTACGTGTTTTCTCACTGAGTAGTGAAACTATGGTGTTAGCCTGACTACTGTCTGTACATACAGTCTGAGAGGCTCAGCACTTCCCCACACCCATCTTCTCAAAATCCTGTTTCTTGAGTATTTCAAATTGGGCCCCCCAAACCACTGATTTTCAAATTTCCATTGATTCTGTGACTTCTCTAGGGAGCATTGGTTTAATCAGGGTATAATTTTAGTTTAGACTTGGATACTGTATTACAGCTAAAACACCTATTTTTAATACTTGTTTGGAACAGTCATGGATTGATAAGTGGGCTATATTTTTAGATTGCTTCAGTTTATGGCATGTGATTAGATGCTCTTATTCCCAGGTGAAATCTTAGATTTAGTTGTCAGTAAGGAAGGTATTTTATAAAGCAAGTTTGTGTGCTGTCTCTAACCCATCTTTCCTAGGAGTGAATTACCAGCTTTTGCATGTCTGTAATGTGTCGGTTGTGTCATATAAATCACAGACTCTAACTGGAGTGATGGAACCTCTTTGGTGACAAGCAATAGTCTGATTTCAGTTACATCTGTGTAAGCCTGGATTCTTCTCCTCTGTTCTCAAAGATATTACTTAGTATGATTCTGGATGTAGTTGAGACTGGAGCAGTCGGCTGTGTAATGTTAGAGCACCTGGTGGGTTGGTTCTTGCTGGAGTCTGCCTCCTTCCCTGGGACTGTAAATGCCCTCATGTACCTTGAAGTCAGACGCCAGAAAATATCTCTATTGGCAAGATCTGTTTGACTGAGATAGGGCTTTGACTGACACCAGTATCAGCTGCATGTGCACGCTAGTTGGGAACTTAGTGAGTGCAAGATAGTGACGTCAGTGGATTGGAGGGAGTTCATTCAAGAGACTGCAAATCTCTGCCAAATAGATTGTCTCTGAAGAAAGAGATCTGTAAATTCCTTAATTACAGTAATAATCTCTTGAGTTTATCCTAGAGCTCTACATGAAGAAAACTTGACCATGATTATTGAAAATGTAAATGCTACTGGTCACCTACCATTCCCAGTTTTTAAATTACACTTTATGTTTTGTTAAATCCAGGCTGTCTCTGTACATAATTAAAGACCACATTTTTTATCCAGCAATTAAATTGAACACATTTTATAAAGTATTAAAATGGACTAAATTTATTAATTTAAAGACCAGGGTATAGCTTGGTACCATGAAAAACTAAGCTTATTAGGATAAACCTTTTTGATGACTTCAGCACTGAAATGGTACTTACAGTGCAGTCTTGGTGCATGAAATCCTTCAACCCTCTTGTGGAAGTATATAGCTGATTTCTAGTCTTAGTTCCCCTTATTTTCCCATTTTTGGATTCTTTTCTACTGGTTACAGTGTCATTAGTTAAATATATTTTTCATCACAGTCATGGCACTTTATGAAGCCTTGGATTCTATTACGAAAGATGCTTCATGGATATGGTTTAAAAAAAGGTCTCAGTGGTTGTGAGGAAAATACAGTGAATGACCACAGTGGACACCAATGTAAATTTGTACTTCCAGCGGCTTCAAAGCTGGGGTGTTTTTTTTGTGATTTTTTTTTTTTTGGGCTAAGGTTTTGGTACAGGAGAGCATTAGAGATTTGGAGGGGAAAATTGTGGAGCTTTGAGAATTCTTGAATGTAAATTTCATACAACAGAACACTTCTGTGTCCCCAGCAGCATTTCAGAAGAGTAATGCAGGTAAACAATATGAAGGAATAAGTGTGGAAAACAATTTTTCTCCCATTTGCTTGCTTCAAAAATACACTTGGCTGTAGTAATTTTTTTCTACACTGGAAATTTATTTGTGGCTGAGTATTAACAACAGTGTAGAAAACAGACTCAGAGTACTAGTGTAAGGCTATGGAAATACATATTTTAAATGGAAAAAAATTAAAAAGACAACTCCCCCAAAAACTTCCTAATGACTTTCTGCCTTTTCTATTTGGAGTAAGGAAGAGCAAAGATACTGTGAACCCTTTACAGGAACTTAACAGTCCCAGTGTATTTTAAGAAGACTTTTTACACTACAGCATTTAAAAACGTAAAGGTTAAATAATGGAGAATGGTTAAGCTATCCCAGAAATGTGTGTATGTCTTATTTAAACAAAAGGGTATCGTGGTTAAATTTGAGGTTGTTTGAGAAGAAGATTAGTCAAGGCAAGCTCTGCTTGGACATCCCATTCGTAATTTTCCAGCAGTTAAAAGTAACTCAGTTGATTTAACCTGTACTAAAATGAGCTTGTTAAAGCCAGAAGGGCCCAAAATTGTTACAGTGCCTGAGTAACCAGTACTGTTTCTCTGTAGATCCTGCTGAAGAGATGGATATTTGTGTTGGTCACAGCTGGGAGACTAAAGTTTCCTAGGTTTTGCTGGTTGTCCTAAGGAAAGGTTTATTATCTTTGATGGGAATTTTTCATGCTCATGTAAAGCTTTAGTATTTGTAACTTTTAAAATTATAGACTATAAAAAAGTATTTAATCTGCTTTCCATCCTGTATTTTTCTAATCACTGTAAGATATAAAATATTAGATCTGTGTTAGAATGTTTTATTTTTGCGTCTTAAGAAACTATCTACCAGAAGATTAATTTTACTGAAATAATGCTTTGTTCTTAGACAAAACATTTTGCTGGGTTTGGATCTAAACTTCCAGGAAAGCCTTAGGAATGAATGTATTTTTCTCATCTTATAAAATAATCACATGCTCTGAAACTGGGAGAAACACCTTTTCTAGATTTTTCTAATACTTTGGGTTCATGCTTGCTTTTTAGATATTGCCAGAATAATATCATACTTACACTGGTTTGTTTTCAGCCTCACTGCAAAAAAAAAAAAAAATTAGAAAAGTACCCTAGATGTAATCATGGCAATCCAGGCCTTCCCCAAAGGTTGCATTACTTTGCAACTGCTTGGTCTCTGCACAGAAGCAGAGCAAACTTTCAACAAGCTTCAGCTGTTGGTATCCCTTCCACTTGGGCAGGTGGTGTGCTGCACATATCAACACAGCTTGGATGCAGGTGGAGGTGGGACAAAAAAGTGGGAGGGCAGAAAACAAGCTATGGAAAAGAAGACCAAGGCTGAGGATGCCAAAAGCATGCTAAACTTGTTATTGAGAAAATCTTGAAGTCCAAGAGTGATTCTAGTGGCGTCAGGATACAAACAGGCTGATATAATTATTGGGCAGCATGAAAGAGGGATGAGGCTGTCATTACCTCCCACCTCAATGGTGAAGGCCAAGGGCCTTGTGCAGATACTAAGAATCTTTACTCATTTTCTGATGTACTACCAAACCATTTCTACATGGAATTCATTCAAGGTCCTCTGTTTTCAAAAACTTTAGTATGAGTTTGCCAGCATCACTTACAGCCAGGAGTAAATTAGCAGGGGACATATACTGACAGGGCAAGAATTCTTCCCAGTCAGGTTAATGATTTGCTAGATTATTGGTTTGAATTCCGTTTTAACGTAGACTTGCTTTTCCTGGTAGACATACTATTCCTCTCCTTCTAAAAGCTGCTGGCGCTATTGGACTTTTGTTACAGACAAATAAACTTCAGAGTAGAGATGGACTTGAGTAGATCAGAGAACATTTGGAGATTATCATGCATCACACCCTCTCTGATCTAAACTCACTGTGACTGTGTGGCTCTGCATGCTTGACTATGCAGCCATGGGTGTATGGATTTCCTGTTTTCAGTAAGGCATGGAGCATACACATATTATTGAGAAATGCATTTTTAATTTTTCTTTAGTAAATCAGCTGCGGTAACTGTGGAACACCAAGAGCCATAGCATGTAATTCTAGAAATCTGCAGCAGTCTCCAGACAGTTCAAAATGCCAACTGTCTCCAGCATTTGCAGCCCTGTTTGAGTCAGAAACAATAGAAGAGCTGTGCTTGCAACTTTGCCCATTTATTTTTTTTTTCTTTCTTGCTGGTGGGATACTGTAGATTTTAGTAGTAATGACTTTCATATGAAATAACATTTAAGTAATTATCTGAAATTATTTGCAGAAACTGTATAAAGCTGTAAAGTTAAACCAACAAATGCATTTAGATAAAAAACACTTGTGATCTATCAAAGGAATTGTCTTTTTCACAGCATACCTGCAGATGACAATTCCTGAATATAAAGAAAACCCCAACTATTGAAAAAGCTGAAGACAGTCCCTTCTGTGAAGGCTAATTATAACATAAGATGTGAGGAATGGATATTTTCTACATGGGGCGTCAGAGAAAAGACTTTCTGGGACACCTGGCACAGGTTTTTACTTGTGAGCAAGAGGCGTTGACAAAGAATGCTTATAAAGGCCAGAAAAACCCAAACCCACCTTTTATTCACTCAAGATCATTCACATCAAAGGAACCCATCATTTCTTTCATGCAAATACTGTGGGGATTGCTTCACCCAGGACTGGAAAGCAGCCAGGCTGCATAGCATGACAGCTACTCAGCAGTCCACAGCAAAGCTATACGCCACGAAGGAGCGGGAATGGATTGCTGGTTTTAAATCTGATACACATTTGCAGCAAATGTTCAGAAAGCACTTTATTTCTGTGTTTTGACCATATCTTCTCTAATGTGCCGTTTCATGAGCCTTATGGTATAGCCTCAAATCTTCACTTTTTCCCCTATGTAAAGTATTAAAGTAGTACGTCTCTACGTAATTAAATGGTCTTACGGATCTGTGTGCCTACTCCATCTCTTAGTAGCTGCAAAATGGCTTCCTTACCTTTGCAACCAGTATTAGAGATTTCTCTATGCTTGTTTACTAGACATTAAGTTGTTTCCAAAAGAAGTGAAAGGTTTTAGGGTTCTTTTGGTTTTGGCGTTTTCTCATAACATCACTAGTACCTCTTAAATTTTTTTTCTGTCATGTGTGACTTTTCAGGCCTGCACATTGAATAAAATTACTGAATTCTTCTAGCCTGAAGTCTTCTCTTAATGCAGCCTGCTTAATTTTCAAGCACTAACAATTAAACTTTGTAACTCATTGTTAATTTAAAAATAACCTTTCTTAGAATAAAAAATTCTACTGCTGAAAGTATTCTCCATTTTTCCTCAAGCGTTTTCCATCTGGCTCGAGGCAATGGATATTGTGGCTTTCCAAACAGAATCTCTATTCCTGTGGGGGTTCGGGTCCCACCACTCACCACACGCAGGTGTAGAAGCATTACGTGTTCTCCACGGAAGATCTTTCCACTGAGCATTAGTGAGCAAACCTGAAATTAGCAAGTGGAGTAGCTACACCATTTATATCTTATATAAGAAAAAGTGGGCAGGATCTAAGGAATTAACTGAAATGAGAATGTATGCAGTCTCATTCTTTCCTATCAGGCAGAAAACTCTCAGATGAGAAGTTATTTAATCATGTACTTGTCTCCAGAACCTGATGTTGTATCATCTCGGTTTATTTTTAGACTTCCATTTTTAAATATCAAACATGATCCCTGCTACAGAGTTGCACTGATGTGTCTTTAAATACTTGTGTACAACAAATAAAAAACCCAAACAACTTCCTATAGGACAAAGCAGATGCAAAGACATCTTTCCAAAGAAATGTCAAAGTGCAGGTGACATCCCCTTCATTGTGAGGTGTCTGCTTGTTTCTTGCTTTTTGAATATCAGAGTATTTACGGAACACACAGTACCTTGTTCTTCAGAGCTTTTACAGACTATAAATTCAGCAGTTTTTTTTTTTTTGTGGTGGTGTTGGGGTAATGCTGTCTTTAGAAATTCTGCTTTTAAATTACAGTAAAATCAGGTGGTCAAGATTTCCTTTTTGATTTGTATGCAAGGAAATATGCATCACAGCATAATCTGAATGTGTTCAATATGTACTTGTCATAGTAAATAGTTTCACTATTTGGATGTACAGGACTGTTTCAGTTATGGCATCTACTGTCTATCACTTAATGGGGCATTTGGATTTCCAGAAATGTTCTTAGTTATGCTCTGTACAGGTAAAAAGAACCTTTTAAAAGTGTCTCAGTGATTTTGGAATACAGCTGCGTTAAGGCAAGTCTATACCTCACTTATTTTCTGAAAATGTACTTTAGCATTAGAGCCTTTGTTTTTGGCCATGCAATTTTCACAGTGGATAAATGCAGAATTATGGGGTTACAGGCTGAAAAGGTAATAGGAAGGATCAGTCCTGCAAGGCAGTGGGACTGACTAATGACTTAGTTCTGGAGTTCTGTGTCATGGGACTATGCAAGGGATGCATTTAGAGAGATTTAATGCATCAATAGCAATTAGAAACTTGGGTAACTATTGGATGCAGCGGCTAGAATGAAAAGTGTTGTGTACTTCTGAAACATTGAAGGCACTGGGATAAGTGGGGTAAAGGTTGCTCTCTTCAACTTTTTTTTTTTTTATTATATCTTTTTTACTTGGTCATGCACCTCCCTATTACCCTTGCTAGGCTTTATTTGATTTGGTCTACCTGCTCTTAGTTTCTCATATTTGTATCAGTATGCTTATAATTGGCTCGGATAAAAGACTAATGCTGGCTCCACAGATGGCTGAAGCCACAAAGGTCAGGTTTTTCCTCATCTTTTGTTGCTTTTACAATGAGAGATTATAAAACATGGTATATTTGTGGGTCCCAGGTAAACTTAAATCTTAACCAATGATATGTTAGAGAAACACTCTGAAATAGGAAAAAAGCTCACAAAAAGCAGAAGAGGAGTAAAATACTCAATAGATGTCCAAAATATGTATTTAGAACTGTAACTCACCCTAAGTCTTGATACCTTTATGCACAGCTGTGTTCTTGATTTTCTTATGAAGTAGGATCACAATGCTGCTTTATCAATAATGAGTGCTGTATTATCTGATCCCAAAGTGATAAAAATGAGTGTGCGACAAGCTAGAGATGGTGATAAATTCTTTAGCTGAAACTCTAGATAAATTTTCTCTGAAACACATTATTTTTTGAGGAGCAATTTCTTTGGAGCTGTATTTGCTTACAAGGCTAGAAAAAAAGAATAAAACATGTATGTCTGGATGTTTAGCCTTTGCTTATTTCTTGAGAGCACAGTTAGAGGCTTCTATTCTGGAAGCAAGAATGTCAGAACAAAGTTTTTACCAGTGAAAGAATGGATATGCTAAAGATACACTTGGCATCTCTACTCAAACCTTGCAAGGGTGAAAAAGGATCTGGAGAACACTGATTTGCAGTCCCTTATGAGCTGTTGTCAAGGTTGCTGCAGCATTGTGGTTCATGGAAACCAGAAGGAAATTCCTCCCATGCCAGCAGCTGGAATACACCAGGTATTCCTAATAAGCTGTGGCTTATGTCTCTTTTATGTTGTTCTCCCTAGAACTGGTCACTTTGCTGGATTTTGGAAGGAAGAACAATACTGCTAATAGCTATGAGGGAGTTTTTTAACAGTGTGCTTCCATCTGTTAAGCACACTGTTAAAAACTGTACTAGTCTGTGGTATTCTCATTACTAACAACCTAAGTCAGTCAGACTTCCATAAACGTGAATTGTGTGTTGCATTCATTTCCACTCCTCCCCCTGTCCACTACTGCATGTATAATGACTGAAAACAAAGTGTTTTAGAAAGAATTGCACTAGTATGTGGGGTGCTTTTTTCAAAGATGTTTTGCCTAATTTTTCTGTCCCCTAATCTTCGACTCTGTGTCCTATGTCGTTGATAGGGAGCTCATCAGGTTGCATCCCTTGTGGACAATTTTGGTCACGTGCAGTTCAAGGCTGTTGAACTTGCACTGCTTGTGCAGCTCAGGATGTGTTTCCTGGTAGGAAACGTCCTGTTGTAAATGGCTTCTTATGAGAGGCTTGTTAATCTAGTTTCCCAGAAACTTTTTCTTGTGAAAAGTTGATTTAGAGGGTTGACATATTTAAATTTTTTGCCATTATGAATTCTGAGTTAAGTAAAATCATTGCCTTTGAAAAACTAGTAACACAGTAATGTACAGCTGTTTAGTAGATCAAGGTGCCTTACAGAGATACAGATAATGAAACAATATTGTGCTCCAGGCAGATTGTACTAACCAAGCCCTGCTCTCTACAAACGCAATTGGACTTTACAGGCCCCTCTATCAGCCTGTGTCCATAGCCTGTAGGTTTAGAGAGCTGGACTGTGTTCAGAGGACCAATGGTTATTACAGATTTGTATATTTTTAGCACTCTGTGTCATCCTAATTGATGGACATAGATTGGCATTATATATTAGGCTTGATTCCTGGGATATATTTGGCTTATTTAACAATGCTATCTTTAGAATATCATCAGCATGCTAATCCTCATTAGTTGTATGAATGGCATATCTTGGTGTCATTTAACTAGATGAATTGGTTCTGTCAGCCTATACTACTCTACTGAGGTTTTTTTAAGCTCATGTAGTAGCCATTTAAAGTATAATAAAGCTAAGAATTTTTCTTTGTATCTTCTTTTCTTTTTTTTTAACCTGTGTTATGAAAAGGGTGAAATTTTGATGGCTTTTTTTGTCACAACTTTCAATCTGTTCGTTTACTACCTTTGCATTTATCTCTCAATATACCTCTTTGTGACTTCTATTGTGACTGAATATTAGGTAACTGTGGGATTAGTTTGATGTGTTGGGCTATAAGGAAAAGAAGGAAACATAACTTCTGCAGCATATCAAGGTCATCATTACAATTTGCAATATGGCTTGGCTAAAATAAGTCAGAGAAGTATCTTATTCTGCTAGTAGTTAAACTCTTCAGGGACTTAAGGATGGGTATTGTAGCCTAGATGAAAGACCCATTTGGGACTTTGTGATGTCTCTGAGCCTATTGAGCTACAGATAGGCAGAATCATAAGTAACAGTAGAAATATTAAATATACCCTCCCTGCTTTCTCAGCAACTGTACCTTGAGCACATACCAGAGTCTTCTGGTTTTTTCCCAGTAATTTTCTAATAATTTGTCAAGTTCAGCTCATGCTTTCACTGTTCAGCTGATGTTTGGGTGACTTGTTCTACAACTGTCCCCAGATCTTTCTGAATGTAGTTAAAATTATCATTATAATGAATGCAAAGCTTGTTTTGAAGTAGATATGTTATTTTGTCACTTTGGTGCTTAGTGTTTTTTGGGCTATTTACTGATATCATGTGCATAACATTTTATACAAAGTCTTATAGGGTTCCACAGTAAAAGCTGATTAGTAAACTACTTACCCTGATTTTCATAAAAGAAAAAAAATATCCAGACTGTGAGGTGTGGTGGCTTCTTCAGAGCATCATGTAAGAGGTGTTACAATCAGGGTATGAGTGGCATATAGTTATATGAACAATTAACCTGCAGATGTGTGAGTAGGTTAATCTGCCATTGATAAGGTTTTTTTATTATTATTTTTTTATTTTTTATTTTTTTTTTGTTTCAATTAACCTGTGCTCTTTTAGCTACATTCTTCAGTCTAAATCACTTCAGTGTGGTACAGCTGCTCTACTTGAGGTAAATTGCAAACATGGGTGAATCCAGGATTTAATCGTGAGATTGTGGAATAACAAGATCTTGAGGACAGGACTCTGCTGATTGTGCCTTCACATGGGAGGCAAGTGTAGGAGTTTAGCAATGTGATGGGTTCATGGTGGTATTGACCTTAAAGACGTTTTTCCTTTTTAGGTCTGCAAAAAAGGCAAATGTGAAATAAGTAAATCTAAAAAATTATTATAGGAGAGTGGATAAAGGTGTGGTTATGATGACACTTATGTTGTATTATTTCCCCAGAACACTCTAACACCTCTGTTTAAAGGAATTATAGCCATGATATAAATTTTTTTAATTTCTTTATTCAGTAACCAAATGGAAAGGTAAAATGGGACAGCAAGATACCATGGTGATGCTGAACATTGAATGAGCAACTTATGTGGCCAGCAGAAACTCTGTGT